TGAATATGTGAGGGAGCTGGCCTGCCGCCGCCGCCGCCCCACCTTCCTCCTCCTAGAAATGAGACATAAAGCAGGTGCCGGTGACTCAGGCCTGTAATCCTAGCTACTCAAGAGGCAGAGATCAGGAAAATCCTGGTTTGAAACCAGTCTGGACTAATAGTTTGAGAGACCCTATCTCAAATAAGCCCATCACAGAAATGGGCTGGTGGAGCGACTCAAGTGGTAGAGCGCCTGCCTAGCAAGCATGAAACCCTGAGTTCAAATTCCAGTACTGAAAGTAAAAAAAAAAAAAGAAAAGAAACAAGACATAAAGCCAGCTACCCATAGTTCTTGCTGCAGCAATGCAGACTGTCTTCTCTAGCTTACTGCCCTTGCAAGCTCAAATGAAGTCACTCATTTCTTTCACTCCCAAGCAGCTCTTCTTCTGCATAATTTTCACCTGAGGGTATACCATCAAATAATAACATGTAATTATTTAATAATTACAATTTGCATAACACCTAAAGGCAAGTGTGAAGCTTTATATGAAAGTGCTTTTTTTTTTTTTGTGGCACTGGAGATTGAACTCAGGGCCTTGGGCTTGTTAGGCAAGCACTCTACTACTTGAGCGAGTAGAGTGCTTTTAAAAGTGCTTTAAAAACTACAGTGGTATATACAATCTAAAAGGATTATTTTAAATTATTTCTACACGGAAGGATACTTTGAGGCAACGACATTTCCAATTATCTCACAATCAGTGAGGCAAGCCATTTCCACACCCAAGATTTTCCATATCTTGATGATATTTCCCTGAATCTGAACCAGGCTCTGCATTTAGTTCCCATTACCTGCCTGCCAGAATTAAAATTCCATGAAGAAAGGGTTGGTGTTTACTTATTTACTGTTCATTCTCAGTGCCTAACACATAGTGAACACTCAGTTTTTATTAAACAAATGAAACTAATTGGCCTGCCTTCATTGTCATTCTAGTCCTTCCCCCACCCGCCCCCCCAAATTGCATCAGCATTATCTTCAAAAACTTAGTGCTCAGGGCTAGAAACGTGACTCAAGTGGTAGAACACCTGCCTAGCAAGTGCAAAGCTCTGAGTTCAAACCCTAGTATTGCCACAAAAAAAACCCACCCTATTTATATATAATTTATAACTATATATATAGGGCTTTTCTAAAACTTGGCCCTGCAGTTATCCTATAGATATTCATGAAATCTTCAAGCATACTCCATTGCCTGCAGAATCAAATGCAAAACCCTGAATGTCACATTCAAGATCCTCCGTGGTCTCGTTCTAAACCATCTTTCAAGCCCTTATTCTCTCTCTTCGTTCAACAATGGCGCAACCATGCAGGCTGCTCACACCTCTATTTAAGCTCTTCCTTCTGCCTGGAATGACCATCTTGTAGTCCTCTTTATTCATCTGTGAAATTCATTTACCCTTCAAAACCCAGCTCAAATGTCACTTCCTCTACCACTTTCTGCGTCTTTGAAGTCTCTGTTTTGTGCTCCCATATAACCTAGCCTCTCATCCCTGATTGTATGTTCCCTGTTATATTATAGTTGATTTTCTCCTCGGATTTTTTTTTTTTTTTCGAAGCACTGGGGTTTGAACTTAGAGCCTCACGCTTGCTAGGCAGGTGCCCTTACTACTTGAACCACTCCACCAGCCCTTTCCTGTGATGGGTTTTTTGAGATAGGGTCTCAAGAACTATTTGCCCAGGCTGATTTCAGACTGTGATCCTACTGGTCTCTGTCTCCTAAGTAGCTAGGATTACAGGTGTGAGCCATTGGCACCTGGCTTTTGTTTTTGTTTTTGCATGGACTAAATCTTACCATTCTGTAAACATCTCCCGAGTCTGACCTTCCACTCTACCCCTTGTTACTCCAGTCCCAGCCATCATCCTTTTCCCCCTGTCCCTTGGAACAGCATCTGACTGGCTCTGTATATTCCACCGTGCCATCCACATGAGAGGCAGCCATCACGGCTCAGTGCCGCTCCTCTACTGCAAACCCACCTCTGGCTTCTCTCCCCCCTTAGAAGAAATGCAAAGCCCTTGAGTATCTGGCCCAGCTTCCTCTCCAGTTTCATCTTCACACTTTCCCCCTTGCTCACTCCAGCCCTCCTTGTCTTTTTGCTTCTCCTTGAACTTGCCAAGACTATTCCACTGCCAGGAAGGCTCTTTCCCCAGATACATACATCACTTGCTCCTTTATTTTGGTTTTTGCTCAAAGGATCCTTCTGCAGAGAGGCCTTCTGTCTAAACTGCAGCTTCTGGGCTTGGGGTGAAGCACAGTGGTAGAGCACTTGCCAAGCATGGTCAAAGCCCTGGGTTTGATCCCCTGCTAAATAAATAAACAAGCATCTTCCGTGAAGCCTTGTTTTCTTACCTACTTTATTTCTCTTTATGGCACTGCACACCACCACTCTGCCACCATTAATTTTCCATACATTTATTATATTTATTATTTTGTTTTGGTGGTACTGGAGTTTTGAACTCAGGGCCTCTCACTTGCTAGGCAGGCACTCAATCACTTCAGCCACTCTGCCAGCCCCTTCCATGCATTAATGAATTTGCTATATAGTTGCTAATTCTCTTTTGTCTATGTTTCTCCCTCACACTAGTCATGTTTCTCCCTGCTTTTTGTGCCTCCGGGGTAAGGAGTCTCACAGTAGTCCACGTGGGTCCTAGATTTCACACAACATGTGGACTGAAAGCAGGTAGTCACTGAAGTATCCTGCACTCACCATGTTGTGGGGATGACCCCCCTACGCATACTACTCCTTCGAGTTTACACGGGCAACAAGAATGAAGTGCAGAGAGACTATAGCTGTTATTACAAGCATTAGTGTGTAATCAATATATCAATTCTCCTATGTTGTGTGTGTGTGTATAATATATATAGTACCTGGCATATAACAGACAATCAAGTATTTGTTGAATGAATGGATGAATAGTTGTATCCTAGGTACCTAGTCTGTGCCTGGTTGCATAAATAGTTATTAAATAAGTGATAGCTGAGTGGCTCACACCTGTAATCCTAGCTACTCAGGAGGCAGAGATCAGGAGGCTCACGGTCTGAAGTCATTCTGGGCAAATAGTTCTTGAGACCCTATCTCGAAAAAACCCATTACAGAAAAGGGCTGGTGGAGTGGATCAAGGTGTAGGCCCTGAGTTCAAATCCCAGTACTGCAAAAAAAAAAAGACCAAATTAATAAATTTTACAAGTCACATGAATTCTAACATATAGGCAGGATTATCTGGGGTATGAGTACAGATGTTCTCTGTTCATTTGCTCTGTGGACATAATTCTGATTTCTTTTATTGGCTCTACTAACCGTAAGTGATCTAACCAGGTTCTTTACTTGTTCTGAAAGGAGTTGACAGAGGGTTTACCCAGGAATATTTAGAAAGGGACCCAAGAGTGGCACAGCAGGGATTTATAATACTTATCAGCCCACTGCCACTCATCAGCTCCTGAGGGATTCTGCTAAGGTATTTTATGTCCCGTGATTTATACTGGATATACATTTGTTTTTAATCTCACCAAACACTGATTATTCTGAGGGCTGGGACAGATAAAACGTTGACTGGTCCCAAGCCCTAGGAGGATGGACTCTGCATATTCCCTTGAACATTGCAAGGAGCCCCACCCCACCCCTCTGCAGCCTACATCAGTCTTTGTGGTATAAGAACCTGAAAGGCTTTGATATAGCATTTTAGTCCCTTACTGTAGGTGAGTCTGGGAGCAGTTTGCCATACTTTTCTTGTTCACTTTAGCTCTGCATGGTTGCTTTCCCTGTTCATCCCGTTTTTTTTTTTTTTCTTAATTTCTTGCAAATGTTTAAATAAAAGAAACAAACAATGCAGAAAAGAGGGACCCCTTGGTACTAGTGACATATGTGTAATACTGAGGATCTGTCCATTTGTCCTTCTAATGAGGTTAAGCAATGACCATGCTGTTGATGACACAGGGGCCAGAGACCAAAATAGGGAGAGCTGGGGAGCACCCTCCCCACCAAATCTTAAGCATTCCATTATAAACAAGAGTGGTAGATGGGGCCTCCGGTGCAGAGGGAGGGGAACTGTTCAAGCACTGGGCTAGGCCTTTTGTGTGCATGGTGTCCTCTGATGTCACCAAGAAGTTAGGAATGTCATCTGCGTTTTTATAGAAGAGGAAAGCTAGACTCAGAGAAGTTGGTGACACTTGCCCAAGATACCCAGATGGTAAGCTGCAGAACTGGGATTTGAGATTTAAACCAGTCCCGTGTGACTCCCTGGCTGTCTACCAAGAGCACGAATTTCCAGCAGCTAGAAGGGCAAGAAGGTGGGTGGGAGGGTAAGAGCTGGAGGGGCAGTAAATGGGTCCTACCTGAGACTACTACGCACCATCTAGTCAGGTAATGCAGCCAGGGGCCACCTGGCTTCTCTTCTGTTGTGAGAACTGAAAATTCTGTGGCTGACTGACCGGGGCCATCCTAGTCCCACTGCGTGCTATCCAGGGTGGAGCCTTTCCTTCCAGTATGACCTTCCACGCGACTCTGGCTCCTGCGTTTGTATGTGGTGTGTCACACAGTGCCTTCATCCTCCTTGAGTCTCTGGTGGGGGCACCTCTTTTCGTCCTATTACAAACTTGCACCCCCTGGGAAGTTCACCCTTGCCTACATCTTTGGAGGATTGGGAGGTTCTGGGGGCACTGTGGGAATCTCCAGGCGTGATAAGGGGCGCTGCCAGCGCTACCAGAGTCTCGGCCTTTTTGGGGCGCTTCGCCAAGCCCGTTCCTTTGCGCTCCAGGCTCGGGTGCCGCAGCGCCCCCTTCGCCACCAGGGGCCGCCCGGAAGCGGGACTCCCGCGGCGCGGGGCGGGGAAAGGGGCGGGGCGCGGCGGTACCTGGGCCGCCCGGGAGCCGGGGGTGGGCTCTCGAGGGACGGCAGGCAACCCCCCCACCCAGATCTGCACCGCCAGCCGCCGGGAGCTCAGGGCTCCGGGCGTACAGGCTGAGCTGTCACATGGGCGGCGGCGACGGGGCCGCATTTAAGCGGCCGGGGGACGGCGCCCGCCTCCAGCGCGTCCTCGGGCTTGGCTCCCGCCGGGCGACCCGCTCTCTGCCCGCCGGGGGCTCCGCGCCGCGCCGCCCCGCGCCGCCCCGCCGCCGGGCCATGCGAGCGCGGGCCCCACCGCGATGAGCTCGCACATCGCCAAAAGCGAGTCCAAGACGTCGCTGCTGAAAGCCGCGGCGGCGAGCGGGGGCAGCCGGGCTCCCCGCCACGGCCCTGCCCGGGAAGCGGGGCTGCCTGGCCGCCGGCTGCCCGGCGCCTGCCCGAGCACGCCGCCGCCGTCCGGGGACCCCAGCTCCAGGAGGCCCCTGTGCTGGCCGGTGTCACGCGACGAGGGCGCGCGGGGGAACCGCCGCGGGCTCCCCCAGGCGCACTGCAGGCCCCGGGAGGCGCTGCCGGCCGCGGCGTCCCGACCTTCGCCGCCGTCGCCGCTGCCGCCGGCCCGCGGGCGGGATGGGGAGGAACGGGGGCTGTCCCCGGCGATCGGCCTCCGGGGCTCGCTTCGAGCCCCGGGCCGCGGGGACTCCGCTCCCGCCGCCGCGACTGAGGCGGACCCGTTCCTCCACCGGCTGCGCCCCATGCTCAGCTCCGCCTTCGGCCAGGTAAGGGCCGCGCCCCCCGCCCGCGCTCCCTGGAAAGGCGCGCTTGGGACCCCGCGGCGGCTGCGCGTCCACCGCCCTCCGCCCGCTGCCGGGGACCTCCGGGTCACGCCTCGGATGTCCCTGTCCTCCCGCGGCCCGGCGCCCTTGCGGGCCGGCACCCCACCCCCGTGCCTGATTCAGCACCCTGTGCGCTGTCCACGCTCTGGGCCTCTTCTGGGCGCCGCGCCGCCGCCTCGCCTTCCGCACACCTGCTGGAACGCGCGGCTGCGGGAAGGGAGCGACCTCCACCGCCCTACTGCGGAGTCGCGGAGGTCAGAGAGGGGCGCTCGGAGTAGGAGGCGCCAAACCCACTTCTCTGATCTCTGGCCAGTACCACCAGCGAGCGACCCAAGAGAGCAAGGAGGTTGGAGTCTGGGGGAGATAGGGGTCAAGAGAGGGAGCCTTAGGACACACAGACTTGCTTGGAGATGAGGGACCCTCGCTATTGCCAACGGTGTCGTCAAAGGCCTGAGAAAAGTTAGGAGATTCGAAAAGATGAGCAAGTAGAAGAGGTGTCAGAGTAGGCATGCAGGGGCTGCCCAAAGCTGTGGCTCGAATCGGAACTTTGGAGTGTTTCAAGGAGGTTGCTTCTCCAAGGATGCCTTTGGGATGGGAGTTGACAGTTGTGGAGTTATAGGATGTACAGTAACATCCAGGGAAACCTAGCCTGAGTTGGCATGAATTCTGGGGTCAGAAAGACCACTGAGAGATCACCCTTGGCTCCTTTGGTTCCCCCAGGCTTTTCTCTCAAGGGTACCAGGCATATGGGCATTTACAATCCAGTCCACTAGTTCTGAGTCCGTAATCAAGTCAGACTCCCCAGCATGGGGCTGAGAGGGTTGTGCAGCAGCCTAGGAGGGGTGTAATGCAGAGGTCTGATCAGAGTGCTTACTTGGTTTGTGGGGAACAAAAGGGGTCTGAACACTTCTGTGCTAGGATCTAGTGTAAAGAAGGGGCCTTAAGCTCCTGGCTTGCTGTAGCATTCCAAGGAGGCTGTGTGTGTGTGTGTGTGTGTGTGTGTGTGTTGCTTCAGATCTGCACATTTCCTTTCAAAATACTACTTCGCAGTGGCTGATGCCAGTGGAAGTCTGACATGAAGGCAGCCGCACGTGGATTCAGGTTGCATGGGGCTGCGGTGGTGGTGTGATAGGGCAGCAGTGTGTGGCTTTGTTCCTGCAGGGAGCCCTCGTTAGCTGAGTGAGCTGGAAACAGTTCTCTCCCAGGAGTACAGATGTGGATGCAGAGCCGTGAGGGTTAGCTTGGCGACATGTGGAGGGAGTTCACTGCAGTGGCTTATGTGTTAGTGAAGAGACACAGAGTGTTAGGGCAGAAGTGAATGTCTGTGGATTTGGACTGGGTTGCAACACAAACCCTGTGTTGTTGAAAGGATGTCAGCAATTCATTCATTTATCAAATATTTCTCGAGTACCTACTTTGGCCAGGCATTTGCTATATAGGAGGGGGACAACAGTGGATAGCCAGGATACTGACTATTTGAAGACTTCTGATCTAGGACTATGGAAGGCCCAGAATCACACACTTCCTGCTGATGACCTCACTTGGCTCCTGGAAAAGTGGCCCTTGCTTCCTAGTCTTATGGAATTTTGCCTGCCTGGTCCCTTTCTGAGCTCAGAGCACTGCAGCGATGTGCTTTTGTTCTTTCTCAGACACTAAATGAAGAATATTCTCCAGCCCCATGTTTTGAAATGTCACAGGGTCACCTGAGTCAGGAAGAGCTGGAAGGTCCCATAAAATATTTACTACCTCCCTCGGGAAGCTCTTGCCTCCTGGTACGGAGAGGGCTTTTTGCTTTAAACCCAGCACGTTCAGTATGGACTTCCTGCTGACACCGAGAAAGCATCTATCTGTTTGAACCACAGACAACAGCAACGAGATCAACAAATCCAGGCTGGGACTTTTATGTTCGAGTCTCCAGTGTCCTGTGAAGGAGAGGAATTAGCTTTTCCTTCCCTTCTTTCTTCTGCTTTGAGATTTCTGTCCTTAGAGACAGGGTGGGGACCAAGTGAAGGGAAATGGGGTTCTGAATACGGAAACTTTCAGATAGGATCTACTTAGGGGAAAATATATTTAGGGAAGTATATTTTTCTAGTTTCTCAAGTTCCAGGGTTTATTTTGCAATTTTTTTGTTTTGTTTTGTTGTTTGCTTTTTAAGACACAGACTAGATATTTAGTTTAGGCTGGCCTCAAACTTTCAATCTTCAGTCTCCCAAAGACTGGGATTATAGGCAAGTACCACACAGCCTAGCCAGATTTTTTTTTAAATCTTACATGAATTGCTTAATTTCATTAAGACTCTTTGTTTACTTGCAAAATAGGGAAAATCATAGTTCGTTAAGGAGAGTTTGGGAGTTTAAAGGAGATATGGAGATATATAATAGAGCTTGGCCCACGATGGCACAGAACATAGTACTGTTAACGACTATTGCTGTTGGTTTTGGTTAAAAACCCACAGGTGTCTGATTTCTGTTTGTAATAGTGTCAGGGAAAGCCAGGTTCAAAGTGACACTGGAGGTACTGAGATAGACTCTTACATTCCAGAAAACAGGAATTAAGATTCTTCCGATGACCTCATGGATGTCTTTCCTGCCTGTAAGGAGACAGCATGGTTTGGGGGCTGAGGCATAGAAATGGCCACTTGGAGGTTCTAATCCCAGCCCTATGACATTTTTGGGGGGCGGGGGCAGTACTGGCGTTTGAACTCTGGGCCTCATGCTTGCTAGGCAGACATTCTTACTGCTTGATCCACTACGCCACTCCTTTTTTTGTGTTGGATATTTTCAAGACAGGGTCTTGAGAACTATTTGCCTGGGCTGGTTTTGAACCACGATCTCTGCCTCCTGAGTAGCTAGGTGCCTGGCTCCAGCCCTGTGACTTTCTGTATCTGTGACCTTGACATGTTGTTTTAATTTTCTCTATCTGGTCTCTTTCTTCATCCAGAAATGAGACTGACAAAAAATGCCTTGCGGAGTTATTAGAAGCTTACACAAGATTACAGATACCAGCAACCTGGCTCATAGTGGGTGCTGGATAACAGCAGGCTTCATCAACGTTATTATTATTCCTAGAGTAGTTGTCTGAATAACAGTCTGTGGAAGGTATTTTGAAAGCTGCCTCTGAGCTGGGTGAGGAAGGCTATAAAGGAAGGAACTAAATGTTCACGGACTGTCCCTAGTTCCCTTTGTGTAGCCAGCTAAGGATATGCCACCCTGCTGCCTAGACAGACTGATGTGTCAGAAATTATCTCAGCATAAGCGTGTCCTGGGGCTCTGTGTCTTGGAAGATTACTCTAAGCCTGACAAGAAACAGCCCATGTGGAGGAGGCAAATGCAAATGAAGCCCTCAGCTCTGTCCTTTCCTTTGCCCTTTCCCAGCCAGAAGCGTCTCTTCTGATTTGGATAGGCCAGTCCAGTTCCCACAATATTTCTGTCTTTCAGAGGTCTCTTAGTTCTTGTGACTTAGATGGGGAGAGAGAGAAAGGCCATGATGGTTTGGGTTCTAATGGATCCAACGCCACCAGGCCTGTATGGTCAGGATGAGGGCTGAGTATATTCTTCATTCCTGCCCACCAAGTCTTCCTTATTGTCTTTCCTCTGGCACCTGGAATGGAGAAAGAGAAGGTAAGTTTTCGGTTAGCATTGATCATAGGTGATAGGAGTCGTTTGGTTGAGGATCCTACTGGATGTCACTATTTGCCTCCAGCTGTTTCTGGGAAGTAACAGGGGTGCTTGAGGCCTCCCTGTGGAACCACCACATAGCTGTAAAAGTCTGTTCTCATTAGCTCTTCCTCACAGCAACCTGTGAAGTTTGGCATTATCATCCTCCCCTCCCCCCACGGTTTTACAGATGAGGAAACAGGCTCCACAGAAGGAAGTGACCTGTCCGAAGGTCACACAGTAAGCGAACAGCAGGACTACCTGCTGTGGATGCTGATTGGTTGGGAAGTCGCTTACACAGGTTCTCTGTTATGCAGGTTCCCTGTTCATCAGAAGCATCTATAGAGCACCTCTTACATTACAGCTCAGCTTTTCACTCAAGTTCAATGCTGGTGATAGAACTGATTAGGACTGAAGGCCAGCCTCCTCCTTTTTTGTTTTTTGAGATAGGACCTTGCTATTTTTTTTTTTTTTAGTAGTACTGGGGTTTGAACTCAGGACCTTACAGTTGCAAGGCAGGCGCTCTACCACTTGAGCCATTTCACCAGCTTGGCCTGGAAGTCTTGATCCTCCTACCTCATCCTCCAGAGTTCTGGGCTTACAGGTGTGCACCGCTACACCCTGCTCAGGCTTCCTCCTGATTAGGAATAATCAGCAGTGGGTTTATCATTCTCATCCCTCTGATCCTGTTATTTCATTCCAGAATTCAAAATGTGCAAAGTGTGGCTTCTGGAGGGCCAGGGACTACTGCTCAGTGGATAAGGACTGGGCGAACCAGACATGCCTCACTCCCCAGAGGAAGCCTCCACCCTTCAACCTTGTTTTATTTTCTACTGAAGATCAAGCCATCTGCCCCTCCTGCTCACTGCCCAGCTTGTTAGTTTAAGGAAGCTCAGAAGCTCCAGATCTGAACCCCTGGGTGTCTTACTGCCACTAAGCCATAAGCTAATGTCAGCCCCATCCCCACCCCTCAAAGCAGGATGGGCTGTCTTTAAGTGCATCCATAGATGCCTGGTTTGGGGTCTTCTGTTCGGTTTCCAAGGACAGAGGCATATCTCAAGGTCGGTAAGTGGGTGCCATGCCCTGGGCTGGCCTGAAGGGGGCAGAAGTTACCAGGTCTGCCTGAGTGGGTGCTGATGGAATGGATGTCATACCTGACCCCCTATGACCCATGGTGGACAGGGGAAGGGACACTTTTGAGTACCTGGCACTGGGCCAAACCTTTTCATGTGTTATCTTGTTAGTCCTAAGGGAGGTGTTATTAGAATTTCTGTTTTATAAGTGAAG